TGTATTCATTGGCCTGGAAACAAACAGTCATTAAGATGTGTGACATCACCAGTTAACGCTTTCAGAGTCTGATGTTTGTCACCTTTAAGATCCGGTCGACCTGAGCGGAACTTATCTGCCCCGCCTCCTGTCCCGCCCTCAGCTTCCGGCTCCCACTGCCTGCTGAGTAATGGAGTCTGTGCAGCTCAGGTGGACGGGGAGGAGGCAAGGACAGGAAGCAGCACTGCTGAAACCTGCAGCGTCCAGTGTGGAAGGCGAGTCGCCCCAACATGGCATGAAGGCTGGACCTGCAGGAGGATCAGAGCATTTTGGTTGTCAGGTGTCTAAAGTTAACATCCCTACATGACCACTGGTGAAGGCCATTAGTGACTTCCTGTTCCACAGGGGGCGCCCTTGAGCTCATGCAGAATGAATGGGACTCAGTGGAGCTGTTCATGACATTAGATGCTGTTCTATTCTTTGATGTTTCTACTGAAGTTTCTACTTTTTGTGCATATCAAGGATGTTAGAGCATCACCAGTCACTTTACTGCATCCTCCATGTTGATTTGGGGCATGAAGCCACCAGTGGCCTCACCAGTGGCCTCACGATAGCTTCACATTCAACCACCACAACCAGCTGCTTCTTCTGCTGCGCTTTAGCTACACTCCTGGCATCTGCCAGAGGTATCATTTAGAAACAGGCGCCATCGAGGGACGACGACGTCCTGCCCTAACTGACCAATCAGCAGGCAGCAGCAGAACGCTGGACTGATTCACGGAGAAATAAAATAAATACAATTCTAGAAGCAGCTGGAAATCCTCAGCTCACAGTGCCCCCTGCTGCACCACCAGCTGAACTGCGGCCAGTTTTTTGGAATAGACAGGAAGTGACAGCCGCTCTGTTCAGCAGCTGTTTCAGGTGAGTTTTGATTATCAGAGAGTGACGTCAAAGGATCAGCAGAAGAATCAGCACAGTGACCAACAAACAGCTTCATTTATCACACTGAAAATAAATAAATCACTGTCCTGTGACTCTGAGGTTCGGCTCTAACCCAGAAACCAGTTAAACAGGATCAGCTGACGGTCAGCTGTGGTCCCGTGGAAAGTTTTGACTAAGCACGAAGCTGAAACTCACCCTGTCTGCCTGACGCCTCGTCTTCCTGATCACTCCTCCTGCAGCTGCGTCTTTGTTCCTGTGACCTTCGACCCTGCTGGTGACGCGCTCATTGATCAGTTACCTGTAAACCATCCTCTCACTTTCAGCCTGCTCAGTGTGGCACAGGCTTCATTCTTCGCCATATTAAACATGCGAGAAAGCAGCCAATGTGTTTAATTACCTGAGAGGGAGGAGGCGGAGCCAACAGCTCTCAGGTCTGTCTGTGTGCAGGTGTTTTGTGCAGATCAGACACTGTTGTGCGTTTCATTCTTCATAATCGTGTCAGACAGCAGGCTGTTCCCACTGTACACAAACCCTGCTCAGGTTCTCCTGTTTGTATCGGCGCACAGGTGAGTTCAGCACAGGTGAGCCAGAACATCAGCTTTAGGCTAAAGGTGAGTAAACAAGGTGTGTGTGTGTGTGTGTGT